CATACATATTAAAAAAAAAAAACAAATAGAGTATAGTTGCTTAATTAATTATTTGTTTTGTTTTTGGTTAATAGTAATAGAAATCAAGAGAGTTTGTTAGCCAAGAGTAACAAAAAAAAAGATTTTACATTGGCCTCTGTTAGCTACCAACACTGTTAAGATTGCTGTTGCTGCTGGTAATCTATATGCTTAGAATTTGCGAATTGCAATTCCAATCAATCAATCCAATGTAATCTCTTGGAATCCAATTACGCTGTTAAATGCTAAAGTGGGGCTCTTTTCTGTTAGCTGACAGCGCTGTAGAGCAACACTTCCAGTTGCAAACGAAGCTCGGGAAAAGAAAGCTAGACAAATGCTTCGCTTTATAATAACATGCATAACAGCTGAGAAGAAAGAGCCTATTTTACAAAATTCCCTCGCTCTTGTATGTGCATATTATATGTATGTATGTCGTTAACATATCGTTTATTCGTTGTTTGTCTACTGGTGTTGGTTTTCGCTTTGGTCATGCTCTTTTTTATATAAAAAAGGGGCAATAACTAACATTAATATGCTGTGCTGCTGGTGAGTTGATCATTGACTATCTATCTAACTAAAATGCATTATAATACGCTTTCTCTCTCTCTCTCTCTCTGTTTATTTCTCTTTATCTTTCTATATAACTGTTGATGTTTTCCTAATGAATAGTTGTTTGATTGATGAATGTGATTTTGTATTCACAGTCGGCCTGGCATGAATGCGCCGCCACGGCTACCTGAACGTCCTTCGTACTATGGGAACACGACCAATGGCAGGCCCTACTGAGTGAGCGTGCGTGCGAGCGAGCTAGTTAGTGGACGGATTGAACATTTGTAGTGCAAGCGAGATGGCGTGCGCATTCGGAATACGGAGTTGTACTGTCAAATGTTCACTGTAATTTGTATTATTATGAATGTGTGTGTGTGTGTGTGTGTGTATATGTGTGTGACTGAGTGAGTGCGACGGGCTATATGTCTGTGTGCGTGTTTGGATATTTTAATAATTTCCCATTTTTTTTAATACAATATAATTTATATACTATAATGATTGTTGTGAAACTCTGTACTAAAGTGTGTAGTAAAACACTTTCGACTGGTCCCTAGTAAAGCTAGATATAGCATAGTTAACATATATACAATTTATATATAGTTATACACACGCACACACAAACACAGGCGCACCCATACACATACAC